GTTTAGAAGACTACAAAAACTCACCGGAATGTCTCAATCCTTCAATCAAATATGGTTCACGGTCCGTTAATTCCATATACAGTATAGTAGTATCCCCCTTCCCGGCGAGGAACAGCATATTGGTGTCAGGATCGAAGAGCGGCATCAGAATACCGGTGGAACAGTCCAGCTCCAATGTCTTCTGGGTCTCAGACAAGTTCCTAATATCACGTATCATCACTTGACGGAGACGGGCTGAATCAAAACCTGTTAAAAATTATTTAACGTCAATGTCTTCGGCCATGCTTGGATTAGTGGGGACATCGCTGCTGTGAAACTAAGAATAATTAAGAGTAAAGGCGAAGTAGTAGCTTAATTATTAATAGTTTAGTTTATCATCTAAAGATCTGGAAACCTTACAAATTTTACTGTAAAAGGCTTCCAAAAGAAGCAATATAACTCAATTTTATCTCCATGTACCAGCTGTCTGCCACGACTCCGTCCACGCGGATTAAAATAGAACTTATTTAGTAGCCTATGTATTCTTCCAGACTATGTTCTACATGTGTGCAAAATTTCATAAAAATCCGTTGAGCTATACTGGAGATATGTTCAAACAAACATCAATCCATGTAAACATTCGGATTTATAATATTAAAAACATAGTAGGATTTTAAGGGTTTCTAAAATTAAAATTATCTAAATTTCCTTAATTACTGTTAAAAATATACGAAAATATATACTCACCAGTAGTAAGTATCCTATCATTATCCCCCAACCACACAACCCGACTATCCTTGATATTCTGATGACTATTAGCCACACTCAGCACCGCTTCCGGTGCTCTTGGGTCCAATATGCGAACCTTCTTGTCCTTGCAAGAAGTTGCTAGAAGACGACCATCCTTCTTCCATGATGTAGATTGTATTACTTCTGCATGATCCTTGTTTACTAGCAAAATAATAAAAAATATGATTATCATTTCTATATATTTTTAGGTTCTTAATTCATCTATGTTTAAATTTACTGTGGCAGTTTCTCTTACCGAACACTTCCTTTTGTTTAGTTAAATCCCAAAGAGCCAATTCATATCCTGATGCAACATGAATAAGTCCATCAGCCACCGGATGGAAGCCTACATTCTCCACTCTCCGTTGCTTCTGTGATAATGTGCACTCAGGAGTTGAGAGGGACTCCTTCAACCCTTCCTGAGGGATGTGCCATACTTTTACCTGCAAAAGATTGGATGACTATAATACCGTCACTGCATAAATTTTGTTTAAAAATATACTATCTCTGTTTTATCAAATAGGATAAGAAGGAGGATATGTTTCTTTATAACAGTAGGGGGCAAACGAGCAGCGGGAACACCGAGGTGGTCAACGCCCATGGACATCAGCAATACCAGAGGAACCACAGATGCGTTGCTGGCCTTTAAGACCTATTTTATGTCAGAAGTGAAAACTTAAGATAAAAATAGACAATGAGATAAATAAATGGTATCACAAATGTGTTGTAATTGCAATATAAGTAGAAAATAAAGTTATATTTCATTATTTTACTAAAAAAAAAACTACCCTCTTTATTATCTCTACCTACCTCCTTGAATGCTTTATAAAATAAACACTGTCCATATATAACAGTTAAGCTCACATATAAACTGTTTAAAAAAATAAATCACTCAGTCACTAGCATAATAGGTCTGGTATAAACAAGATCTTGGCACGATGCCAAACTGCAAACTGTATATTAAACAAGGTAAAAAATTTAAAAATGGAAACTGTAAAACATGAAAAGAGGCACACTTGACTATGCTAGCTAGTAACACGGTTTTTAACATTTAAAAAGCTTGCATAGTTAAGTTAATGGCCATTAAAGTATAAAATGCTGACTGAATATTATGTAGAGAGAAAATTATGAATAAACGAATTGTTTAGTTCATACTATGATTATCTATACTAAGATTATAAAGCAGCAGAGTTTGTTTGTTTAAACGCACTAAACACAGGAACTATGGGTCCGATTTAAAAAATTCTTTTTTTTTTGGACAGTCCATTTATAGAGGAAGGCTTTAGGCTATATAACATTAGGCTATGACCAATAGTTTTAATCCCGCACGGATGGAGTCGCAGGCGACAGCTAGTTTTTTTTATAATAAGAAAATACACCGCCTATTTCTATTCAAATTAGTATTATTTAGGCTTAAAACAATAAAAGAGCCTAATACTAAAAAACTTATGCAAACTGCCCAGTTCATTTTCATAACTATAGCATACTAACATTATAATATTAGAATATGTTCAGTTTGAAACTGTTTTTACTGCTTTTAAATATTAGATAAGACTAAAATAACTTTATCTTTGTTTTACCAATAGAGTGAAAGTTATCTTAAACAATATAATGACCATCCCTTTCAAATAACCTTTTTGTTTTATATCACACTAATGTAAATGGAAATGTTTAGATGGATGTATGTTTATTTGAAGGTATCTCTAGAACGGCTGAACAGATCTCTATAAAATTTGGCATACATATAGAACATAGTCTGTGAGAACACATAGGCTCTAAATATATATTTTTTTAAATTCCATGAGTTGTGGGTGACAGGTAGGTGGTTATAAAAATTTTAGATGATAATAGGTTGCAGAAATGCACATTTTTCAGTACTACAATGTTAATTAGAAATGCTTTCTAAAATCATACTGGCCTCTCATAACTGTGGTAATTAAAAATAAATCAAGTAGTCAGTAGCTGAAATATAATTAGAAGCACAGATAAGAATGTATGCTTCATTCAACAAGTAGGACATCGCTATTTAATAGAGAGAGAAAGCAATAAAACAGAATATTCTCTTACCAATGAGTCTTGCGAGCCAGTCAATAGCAGTCCGTCATGGAATGGAGAAAATTCCATATCTGTTATTGTATCAGAATGGGCATGGAGCAAAGGCATTGTCTTACTCTTTCTTCCACAATCATCTAACGGCAACACAGCCATACTAGACCCAACATGTTCCCAGTTGAATGCCATAAACGCAGCAGAGGCACAAATATTGTTTCCATATGTCTGATATGATCCAACACACACATCTCGTATGCATGCCTCAGGCTTAGGCACAATCGGTGCCGCATTCTTATACTTAGATGCCTTAAAACGCCAGGCCATCTTCAGCCACTTTATAAAAAATTAACAGTCTTCTAAATTTGGAATGCAAGCTTTTCGCTTAATACAAGATAATCTGAAAATTTTAAAAATCTATTAATTTGCAAAATTAGCTTCAATAATTAGTTACCTGGTCGATGTTTCTTAAAACGACTTAATTATAACATTTCATGAATACATTAAATATACAAACAGTAAATGTAATATGTAAATAAATAAGAAATAATACACTTCCACTGAACACTGAATTGTTGAAATAATACTAGTTTCTATTATTGTAATAATTACGTCTTTATCACACGTACACAAATTAAAAATATTAAACACTTTGTTTTGAATACTGTAGCAGCAGGGGCCGGAAATGTATCAAATTATGAATTACTTCAAAGCACTATTATTGAATTTTATTTTATAATACTTAGTATTCGAATAGTAACTGATTGTCGCATTGTACTTACAGAATCAAGTATAAATATCAATAAGATTTTTAATTTCCGCTAGACACTCCCCCTAAACGTCGGCCATTTCAATTGAAGCGGCATTTAGTGTCGAGTCGATCGATAAAACAACCTATGTGATGTGTCACTCATCGAGATAAAATCGATTTGAACTGTGTACGTTAGTATTATCGATATTATATATCGCATGTAAAATGTACTTTTATTAACTTTAACTGAAATTAAATGACATATAGTGATATCCTACTTCTAGAGAATAAAAGGCTCACAAACATTATTTCATTTTCGTAGAATTTTTTACATCATTCAGTACTGGAAACTCGATATCAGGACAAGTTTTATCCCCAACCAGTTTAATACCATGGCCAAAAAGGTTTTTGTTAACGAGTTTTTACCTTACCAGAATTACAATTCAGATACTAACATATAAAATAAAGCGGGTTTTGACCTTGCAATTAAATCATTTACCATGTTTAAAATGTCGCCTGCTGCGACTAGTATTGAGGATTAAGTTAAAGAGTCCTCGTATATTTTTAATAATTGTAAGATTATATTAAATAGAAATAAAACAAACAACAAAATATTCAAAGTGATCATTTATTTATTGCGAGTATTACAATAATTCAGTTTCTTTGGTGAGAATTTATTTTCTATGATCAATGATAACGTTAGAAAAAATTTAATTATTATACAAAATCAAACAATACAACATTAAACATGGCGTGGCAAGTAAATTGACTTTTTAAGCTTAAGTAAAACCATTTAAATATTAACTTTAAAAAAAATATCTAATGAACAGTATTTGCCCTTTATATTCGTGCAAAAATTTTACAAGTTTCTAGTAAAGCCCCCTTACATTATAATTTTTAAATATCACAATTTCTAATCGATTTTACAGAATCGCAAAGTTTTATCACAAAAATCGATTTAATTTTAGGGAGGTTCGTTAGCGAAATCGATGGTTTATTTTTTTAAAGAGCTAAATGTATATTTTACGGCAGATCTGTAACATTTTTGGATGTTACACAAGTTGCTTGATTTTTATATGTTTTAACATTTAAATAATATAAGACAGCTCTACTTTACCAGATACATTTGAAGATTTTTTTTAAATAATGCCATTTGTGTAAAATTCTAACAAAATTGCACGTCACAATAAATCACAAAACTTAATCTGACACCAAAGTGCACAACACTACATTTTATGTGTTAAAAAAAATAAAAATAGGCACCTTATCACGTAAATGTACAATAAATACAACATGTTACACTTACTTAAAATTAACAATTCACAAATAAAAAATATAATTCCTATATACTTTAAAATAATAAAAAAATAATGTGTGATGTGTAAAATCTGACCAAAATATAAAAAAAAATATTTTTTGGTTATTTTTTCAAATGTACTGTGTTTAAAATAAAAAAATAATTCTCTATTATACAATAATAAGTATAATTGCACATGTAAATATTCTTTTCGATCACATTTCTTCACAACTTGTAGGTTATATGAGTTACAGATATTGCATAATTCCATATTCCAAAGCTATTTTTTAAAAGCAACTAAAAAGTTCTGCAATTTATCCAAAATTTACATACAGATTAAAAAAATCCAAGACAGAATACGTCAAAATAATCTAAAAAAAAAACGAGTAAATTTTTCGATGTGAATAGACAAAGTTATCTGACCCATTAGGCATAAGTGAAACTAAATTATGACAGTGCACTAAGCGCCCCCTGTCAACGTCAAAAAGTGACAAATGATTATTTTCGTACTGTAGCTGTCATGTAATTTTTTCTTTTATGCCATTTTCTATGACCATGTAGGTTTAACATATTTTTTGCCAGACCTAACCACGACAATTGCTTTACCGATTCAGATAACGTTGTCATAATTATACCTTGCAATATACATGTGCCTCATAAAAAATCGGTATCAACCTAAAAATAGTACAACATATGTAGATATACTACAAACTTCTTAAATATTACCACAACGCAACTAATCCAATATCTACTTAATATTAACAAAAATTGCAACGGCAAATTGTTTAACTTCAAAACTATGTTACAATGTCACAACTAACAGATCATTCTAAACAAAAAAAAACATAATACCACATACGCAATCAGCGCTGGCAGATAACTTGCTCAAAACTGGCATAATGTGAACAGTAACTGGCGCCAGTGAGCTAAAACAGTCCATGCCAGTTCAGCGCCAATTTCCTATTGTACTGGCATAATGTAAACAATGAGAATTACGGACAGAAAAAAAATCAATAATAAATCATAACACAAGATAATTAACTCCAGTTAATTGACGTTCCGTGCGTATTGTCGAAATTAATTATTGAATTAAAAATTAAACACGAACACACTTTAGCTATTACCCAAATATTAGACGATGATACGTTAATTAAATTTATTAGAAATTCTTGATTTGATTAAGTACAGACATATAAGTTTTTAATGAGAAATAATTGTAAAGTACTAGAAAAAATTGTAATACGACTCAGCAATATCAATTTAATTGGGTGTAGCCATTGTATGTTCAAATTATGACATTGTACCATAGCTCTTATACTATAAGCTACTGGAATGTCGACAACCCAACACTAGCGAATACGATTAACAGATACATTTTTATAAAGAGACTTTAACTACAATTTTTCTACATTCTACAAGAAGCGAATCAGCTAATATTGAAAATTTTAATGTCAATAAAATTGTTTAGAAAATATTAATTTTTTATAATCCGAATTTAAATTCGAATGAATTGAATATCGATAAAACAGTCTCTTTATAAAAACGCTATACAACACTAATAATATCAATGAGATAAATTCGTATGTTTAAGAGCGTAGACAACAGGAACTATCGCCGACCGATGTTGTCTTTCCATTTATGGGACCTAAACTACCATCGTATTTGGGCAGCTCCTTGCACTTCGCTTGCTGAAAAGGAAATGGACAGTTATTCTTCTGTCTTTTACAGAAATCACCACATATTTATTTACTCATTTTTAGTATAACTTCAGTTCCCATCATAAAAGATGAAATAAAAAAATACCAGTTATTTTTAAAAGAGAGAGTTTGTTTATATGAACAAAGACTTTTTAACCAAGAACTTTTTACTTCTGCTTTAAATGCAGGTAAAACTGGTCTAACAGACCATATAAATGTAAAAAAAAGTCAATTGACATCCTTGATATTGTTATATGTTCTAAATTGCTTGTATCATCAGACAAGAAGCCATAGAGTAGAGCAGCTTAACCATATAACATACAGTAATGTAACATATGTGTTCATGCAGCTGTTGTACTGTAACCTGGTCATCACCATTTAACCCTGTGACCTCTAAAGTCCCATGTAATACCTAATCTGCCATCTTTATACACCTTTGACTTTACTTACTGGAGGATTAAACTCAAATACAAATATCTACAGATAAATGGAACAATTGAGTAATTGAGTGTATCCCATTTCTTACATATGTAGTACATACTGTAATCTATCTTTATATATATGAAAGAAAGTCATGTTAGTTACACTATTTATAACTCAAGAACGGCTTTGCCGATATGCCTCAAAATTGGTGAGAAGGTAGCTTATTTTAGTATTTAGTATTTACTTTGTATTTAGGAGACAGACATAGGATACTATTTATTCATTTTTTTTTCGAATTTATGCCTTGAAGAGCTGCTTTTTATTTAACTTACTAATATTATATATGCGAATGTTTAGATAGATGTGATGTGGATGGATGGATGGGTGTTTGAAGATATATCTAGAACGGCTGAATAGATCTCAATTAAATTTGGCATACATATAGAACATAGTCTGAGAGAACACATAGGCTACACTAATAATTTTTTATATATGTGCACGCGGACGGAGTCGCGGGCGACAGCTTGTGTGTTTATTAAAAACAATAAATAACAAACAATTAATGAAAATCAATGTTCATTTCGGAATTTGAGGGGCATCTTTACATAAAACACATTGGTCAATAATTCTGCAGTGTGCGATGGGATTTAATACCAGTATTCTGGATAATCGCAAATATGAATTACTATGGTTTGGGAGATGAAGTGTCTACTATAATCTCAAAACTCAATCTATTCTTCATTATATAATAACAGAGAGTTATATAGGAAATTAATTTGTATTTTTCCAAGCATTTACTTGTGATTTCTATTTACATAAAAATAATACTATTCCTATAAGTTACTGTAATTGAGTATAAAATTAGTGGATATATGACCATTATCTTATTGTAACTTAAATAAAACGGATATCTTATTACCTCCATCAATTCAACAGCAATTTCCATAAACAACCGCTCCACATTCTCAGCCTCTTTTGCTGATGTCTCCAGGAAATACATCCCATGTCTCTGTGCAAAGTCCTCTCCTATGTGTCTTGGTATCTCCCTGTCTTCTCTGTCAGTTTTGTTACCTTATTTTAAAACAAAAATATAACAATTATACTATTTTAAGATATACAGGATGATTCTTTATGGACGGATCAAAGGCTTGCAAATACATTGGTCTTACATGAAAGCTATTGATGTTCTCTATCTCCACAAAGCTTTTGATCTTTGCATTAATCATCCTGTATATTTAAACAACTTTTGCGGTTTTCATATTGAACATTTAAAAAGATCTGTAGGAATAAAACTATTTTTACATAACTCCAATATGTATTTTATAGAGGTATCATACTATTTTATATTTCATTTTGATAATTATGTTTAAGCCTTTATTTTTTTTTTAATTATGTAGTGTTTATGTCTTTAAACAAAAAAAAGCATTACTCACCAACTAATATCCTTAGCACCTTGTTATTTGCATACTCTTCAATCTCTCGCAGCCAGTCAGGCAAGCAGTCAAAAGTTGGCTGGCAAGATATGTCGTAAACTAAGATCAGAGCATGCGCGGACCTGTAGTAACTCTGTGTTATAGACCGAAACCTCTCCTGACCCGCAGTATCCCATATTTGCAGCTGCAAGTTACAAAACATTAAGATTACAACTTGTTTCAAATGAAATTAATAATATTTCATAAGGATTTAATGATAATCACTATGATATGGAACTTGAAGTATATTAAGACTATTAATTATAAAAAAAGTTATTTTAATAGACACAAATCTTAATGGAATCATTAATGTTAATAGGTATTTTCTTATGCAAAAAACAGCTCATTGTTTTACGTAAAAATGACCAAATTAGACATGGCCTGTGAACTTGTTCACCTTCACTTTCTCGCCATCCACCTCCACAGTTTTAATCATAAAATCCACTCCGATCGTTGCACCTTGCCCAGGAGGAAATAGCCCCTGCGTAAAACGACGCACTAAGCATGTCTTGCCAACACCAGCATTACCGACTAATACAACTTTAAAAAGAAATTTATAATCCTCCATAACGAGCACCAAATTACATTTGTCGGAAACTAGCTGAAAGGAATTACAATAAATTATCTCTCCCGTTCACTGTCACGCTTTACTGAATTGACACTCATTACAATACGATATGAGCCTGATATTCTTTTATCGATACGATTACTTTACGATCAAATGCACATTATTGATAAGATTAATCCAAAAATCAAGATTTCACGATTCAATTATGAGTGATGATGAGAGTTGTATTTTTTATGAAAGAGTGAAAAAATAGCGACCAAAGAGTAAATGACTGCATACTTTTAGCTTTCGGTTCAAAATCAACCAAAATGTACGATTTTTTTGAAGTCTATTTTGTTGATTTAAGTGGACTGCAATTTGCTATGAACTATTTTAAGCAGGGTGCGCAGGTTTAACCGAAGTTAACTTGCTTATGTTGTGATGTCTTAAAGAGCACTTAGCACTTTTGTAATTTTGCCGCATCTGTAATCTCTCATTACAATCTTTGCAGCTTGTCTATGATAAATGCACCATTCATAGACAAGAAAAAGCGAAAACAATCAGTCAAAACATTGCAAAAAAACATTATCTAAATTAAAACAATTAAAAATTTCATATAAACTAATTCGAGAGCTGTGCTATTATGTCGAGCATAAATTATACAACTCGGATTGAAGGCCAAACGAGGATCAATACCATACTATGGACTGTTCCAAATTTTATTAACCTGTTAGAAAATAGAAGCTGTCGAGAATTCAGAACAGACAAATCAAAAGATCACACCTTGGAGATCATAGAGTCAAGATTCCAATTGAAAATGCAATTCCTTGGACGTGATAACGATATTATTGAAATATACTATCTATCTCCTAACTCGGTGTTTTTAAAATCTATTTTAACTATATGCCTAAAACGTTTTGAAGAACGTTCAATAGTTATTAAAGAATATCACACCGTTCATGCAAATAAATGGCAATATTTAGCTACATTATTTAAAAGGGACATTGCTAGTTACGATGGTCGTGACATATTTTTGTTAAGTGACGGAAGCTTGCGCTTAAAATTCCAATTTTTGGTATCTAATGATATAAAAATCGATCGCTCTAATGTTTTCGAAGCTCAACTGAGTAACGATATTGAGAATCTTCTTCATAATGGTATGTTTTCTGATGTAACAATGAAGTCTGTTGAAGGAGATGAGTACAAAGTCCATAAAGCTGTACTTTCTAGTAGGAGTGCTGTACTTAAGGCTCATTTTGAGCATAACACAACTGAATGTTTTACTAATAGTATAGAGTCGCCATTAGAGGCCGAGGTACTTAGGGAAGTTCTTACGTTCATATATAGTGACAAAGCACCAAAGGTTGATGAAATTCCAGAGAAACTCCTAGCAGCGGCAGACTATTACCAATTGAGCAGACTTAAGGGCTTATGTGAGGAGGCGCTGCACAAAAAATTAACAGTTGACAATGCAATTGAGACACTACAATTGGCTGATTTACATTCAGCTAAGACACTGAAGCAATTAACATTAGAGTTTATAAAAGATGGTCAAGCAAAACTTATTACAAAGACTGAAGGGTGGGCTAAAGTGAAATCTGTTGAATTAATTAAATGTATTTATGAGTATATAATGACAGATGATGCGGAAGCTGATATAAAGTAAATAATAATTATATATTCTTACTTTTGAATGAAATTTAAATATATAGTAGTATGTTGAAAGATGTTATGAATTAGAGTTGGTATCTACAAAGGGATGAAGAACTGAGCAGATATATATTTTATAGTGTTAAAATTTGTAATCATTCATATACTAAATGCCTTCTATTTACGATATTCAATGTCATAATAAATAAAAGCAATATTAGGACTACTGGTAGCTTATATAGATTGCATTTATGTATATTTAAAGCTAGAAGTATATAGCTTATGTGCCACTAATTACCTTTTATATAAGTACAAAGTTAACATAACTCCAATTTGGAGATTTTAAAGTATTTATCACTTTTGCATTATTAAACTAATTACTCTTTGATATTATAAATAATTAAATTAAATTTTCATGTATATATCTCTCTTGGGGTAGTCTACCTAGTTTTGTCTTCGTTTCATTGTTTTTTCTTTACAATTAATTATATTTATCAATTATTTTTTTGAAGATCAGCCTTCCAGAATTAATGATGAACAAGAAAATTACATATGTGGTTAGTATTAATACAGTAAGCCAGCTATGGAGTAATATGTAAAAAAAAGTATATTTGAGAACATTATACATTAGTAATGGTCTAGAACTTGGTGAATATGCATATAACAAGCAATTGAAAGAAATATATTTATAATGCATTAGTTAAGATGTTGTAATTTATATTTGTTACATTATTTATTTTAATAGATAGTAATGTTTTTATTATAGATATTTTATTATGACATACACTCATAAAGAGTTAATTAAAATTGAATAAAAGAGACATTTTTAATAATTTGGTAATCTTATAATCCTACTGGGTTGTGGATTACTGCTTCTATTTTTATCCATTGACAAAATAAAATAAAATTGTTTATGGAAATAATTTTTATTTCTTGCTATCATCACTCTGATTATCACTATCACTTTCCGAGTCACTTGAGTCACTATCACTTTGATATGTCTGTACATATGCTCTGTTTGTGTTCACAAACAAATCATCATCATCAACTGTCACTTGTTTCTTCTTTTCATCATCAAACTCCTTAGGCCACACATTGTTCTCTTTATAATACTTAATAGAGTCCTTGTTCATTATTTTTACAATTTCCGCTTTCACTTTATCTCCCTCTAGTATTGGTTCAACAAGGATGTAATCACCTCTCTTCACCCATATATTTTTCCTGAACTTTGTAGGCATTGATACTAAATATTCTTCACCAGATGGTGTTGTAATCTAAAAGCAGTAAAATAAATAGTACCAGTTATTTTTTAGATGGTCCAAAGAAAACTATAAAAATCATGACATTCTTCTTTGAACAATAACAATGTACGAATAAGCATCAAAATAAACAATATAAGTACGAGCATGTTAAAATAAAATGATGTGTAATAAATTTAAAATAGCAAGCAAAGGCATTCATAATTTTGTTTTTTTTTTAAACTTGTGGGTTGAAAGTATAGCTTTAAGCTTGGTAAATACAATCAAAGAATACCTCATGCAGATTATTTCCTTTGCTCTTAACAACTTTGACGATACTTTGATTATCTTTTGGCAATTCATAATCGTCCCAGAGAGCTTCGTTCATCACATGTTTACGTTTTGTTACTTTAGACATTTTCGATCATTTAAATAATCAATAAGAAATGAGTAAGTATTTAATAAGTTTAAAACTTAAAAGTTTTTGTTTATTTAACCTCAAAACAGCAACTACGACTTGACGTTTTGGTTTTTGACATCTTTACTTTTTTATGGACAAGTCTGTTTATAGTAGATTAGTTGTCTATGGTTATCTATGGATGATACACAGATTGCATTCGTAAAAATAATGTAAAGGTCTATAACTTTGTTTTGCAAATTAAATGAAGAGTTTTAATAATATTATGCGGGTCGCACTCACATTAAAACATGGTTGTGACGAGCTCAAAGGAAAGACACTTTAATAATGCAATTATTTATTTAATTTACACTTTTCAATAGCGTCAAATATGGTCAATGATTCGCCATTCGGTATGCCATAGCCTTTCTTCAGGCCGTGCGGGTTAGAGGGCGTTGTGCAGCTGAGGTTGCACTCTTTTCTTAGAACTTGATCCACTTCTACCGAAGTAAAGAAAGCTACCGACTGTGGTAGATCGTAAATTCCAACACTAAAATAAAAAAAGGTATTAAAATATCTTTCTATATAGACTGTGCAGGATAACAAAAACTGACGTAACACTTCCATGTTTTATGTGTTATAAACTAAATTAGGTAACAAAAGATCAAAGCTATTTTAGTAAGTTATTTCACTAAGTTCAGATGTTATTATGTCGTGTTCTGTGTACGAACTTACCGTTGAGAACAAAATGCCCTTGTAAAGAGATTAGTTATGTGCAAAGCTAACGCTGTCTCGTACTTCAAATGTTCAGGAACTAAATATCGCACTTCGTCGTGAAAACTGAGGCAGAATCTAAAAGGAAAAACTGTATTTTACAAGACCCACTATTTCAGATGAATTAAGATATTTAATAATCTTTTACAATTATCTTAAGTTACATCCATGATTTTTCTAATTGCTATAAAAAACTCTAAAATCGTTATTTTAACTATATTTTCCAGCAAACCACTGTAGTTTGTTGAGTCAAACTTTGTGCACATTTAGTAAAGTGACACAAAAAAAAACAAAAAAAATTGATTATTAACTACGAGAAGCAATTTAGTGATTGTAACCTGGCATTTGGTGCGAGATGTGCCATAGAGACGAGCATGAGATGCAGGAAGTCAGCGGCCGCGCTCTGCACCGCCCAGTTGAGCCGCGTGCCCGCCCACCGCCCGCCCGCCTGCTCCAGTGCACGGGACAGACGACCTTCCAGGAACGCAGTCGATGGCGCTTCCGAATCTACACAATTCATCATGAATTGTAATGCCAAGCTTACATTATTCCAATCCAGCGATTACAATCAGCGCTGGATTACGACTGGAAAACTTGAATGGAATGAATTGTATGCAGTGTGTGTTTACATTTTTCCAGTTTTAATCCAGTGGCACCTTTGTTTTCGCTCGTATAATACTTATCATAGACCTACAAAAATACTAGAAGGGACAATGTCCAAACATTTTACATATAATAATTTTTTTTTACTTAAATCTAATACTTTTTTAAAATCACAGATAACAAGTTTCTTCTCACCAGCGATCTCTTCCAGTTTGTTAAACATATCAGACTCGGTGCCGCCGAGCCACACGGGCCGCTCGAACATGTCCTCCACCTTCTTACCGCTTAGTTTCGCAAGACGCATCGCTTGATACCCCGACATCTCTACTGTCTACATAATAAGATCCAAATTGTAATAACAAAATTTGAAATGAGTTCACTTTAAAAAAACATGATGATGAATGACTAATAAATATGTAAACAATTACAAATCTATGTCGTCCGCCATTTTGTAATGGCGACCATTTTAGATTTACATAAACATTGTACTGGACTAGTCAAGTCCTTTTATTTACTAATATCTGTATTGTGATCTAAAAATACCTAATTATGTATGTCCACAGATTATATTACATAAAAATTGATATTTCAAAGTTCGATTTGAAAAGAAAAAAAAAACAATAAAATTCACCTTTCCCTCTAAATCTTCATCAATAAGGCCCTCCATATATTTCTTCTTCAACACATAGACGCGTTTACCTTTGGTAGAGCTGAACATCTTCGCAGCTTTACTCTTGGCTTCCGATATCGTCATTGTTGGGTTGAATTGTTTTAATAATCTCTCCGCGAAGTTTTGTCCCGCACCTATAACATAAACCTTAATTTTACGATCTAAACGGGATAGGCAGAGTATAAGGATATCTCTTTTAAAAATAAAATAAAATAGCCTTTTACTCAGCCTGAATAAAAGGCTATCTCTTTTACTATTCCGTTATTTTTGAACGTCACTATTCCATGGACCGTCGATGGCTCATGGGTTAAGCACTTAATTGGTAACCTAGTCCTGGGTTCCAATTCTGCCATGTACCGATATGTTTGTAAGGAATTTATAAAGCAACCTACACATCTGCGAAGAAATTCAAAGATATGTGTGAAGTCAACCCGCAATGGGCTAGCTGACAATGACCTAGTCAGTCCTAACTTAGGGTGGCTACGAGCCCCTCATTGGTGACATATAGTGAGCTGATGATGTTTCATCAGCGGAAACTAGAATACACTGACCATATATCCTGGCGTAATTAATGACTTTAGCGTGGTCCCTGTTGACACCCGCAGCGGCTGCAGTGAGTGAGTGCAGGTCTGTGCGGCGAGCCTTGTCTCCCGCCAGCACTGCCCACCCAAACGCCGTGCCTCCACAAACGCCCATTGTACTATCGCCTAGCAATGCCGCGATCCATAACTCCTAAAGTATCACATAGATTAGAATTCAATGTTCAAAATGTATAGTAAAATTCCATGCATAGCGACCTTTATCAGTTATTCTGTTAAAATTGTGTGATAAAAAAGGTCAGAGGAAGCGACAGTTTGAATTACACACTATTATCCCCCTCTTTTATAGTAAAAGAAGGAAACGCGATAGAAATCTAGCCCAGAGCATTTGTATAGATAAAATCGTTATTGTGCACCTATTATGAATATTTGTGATACGCGCCATCGTATCGTTATCGACAAAATTTGTATAGCGCTGTTATCGATAAAGTCTAGCAAAAAATCTCATACCACATGACATAAAGACGATGACGATACGTCGCTTTACGCAAATTTTCGTGCTAGGCTCACTCGTACCTGTGAGTCAACATCAGCGCCTACAAAATTGTACCCGGGCGGAGCTTGCACCATAGCGCGCAATTCCGAGCCGATGCGCTCCGCGTGTGCATTGCTCGCCGTCATCCATGTCGGCTCGCTTGCACTGCATCACAACGCGCAATGGATACGTATCAAATAAGTATACACGCAAAAACTATAGTAATTTTTGACTCTCGAATAAGAAGCTATAAATGAACCTTATTTGTGGAAGAAATAACACGCAAGATTTGATTTCTTGTAACCATTCGTTTGAACAATAAGTAAATTTATCAGACGTTCTTACATCGAAGGAAGACATCGTGATGTAACCTGCAAACTGTACATATTTGAGAAGAAATTTAAATATGTGTGAATCTTGCACTGGGTCAGCGTGGTCGAGACCTAATCACTAAGGAAAAAGATGGGACATAAATAAGCTGACAGTTAATACATATTCTATAACTAACCGTCTCGTAAGTGTCCCGCAGACGACAACTTGTGGTATAATAGCGCCGTATTGTCGATGGTTGCGCATGCGCTGCGGCAGTCTGCGTGCGGGCAACCACACGAGCTGTTGCGCGCGGATGCGCTCGCGGTTGTTGCGCCAGTATGACATCATGCGCGCAAAAGTTAACACCTACACACATTTATATCTTACTAATATTATAAACAAATATGTCACTTTGTACACGAAAAATATACAAGAAGAACTAAGAACTAGAAAACCAATTTACATAGAACCTACAAACCTTAATCGATTTGGATGCAGTATTTACTAATATATTGGTTAGTTTCACTTAACATTCATCGTTGGTATGTGAGCCCATAATCTCTGTATAAAACATATCCTCATCCCTGTCATTATCTTTGACGAAATAGAGATGGCAATATGTGTAAAACTTGCATTTTGGTCTTGGAGATAGTTTTACTTTTATCTTAATCTGTGCTTAGTTAAAAAAAAAATATGTCAAAAGTAAACGTTTCGGAGATTAAAAACCAATATAATTTGACCTTAGATTTGTTCAATCATGCATATAAGATAGGTATCATGTTAGTCTAGATATGTGAATAAACTTGTTAGCGATTACTAATATTGTAGATTCACGTACCTTTTCAGCTTCATTCCCCTGAGCTGCGAGAACGTTCTGACTGAACATATTAAGAAAGTCCTTGGCCAGAGGATTGCCCACTTTGTATTTTGGACCGTCTTTATGCGGCAATCTTAAGAAGTGACAGCAACCTAACAATTTCAACAACAACTTTTTTATTTTTATTTTTATAAGGATATCGAATTTTCATCCATAATTAAAAAAATCGATTTTACGATAATGCTTAAAATTATACATACTGAATTATTTTTATACAGTATTAGCTGTTGTCCGCGATTCTGTCCGCGCAAGATTATAAAAAAAACTTAATTAGTGTTAGGAAGAAAATCCGACCCTGTGCCGGTGTATCGGCACAACACTAGCCTTATTAAAATGTCAACGTTTATGTCCCCTCACTAATCTGACACTTGACTTTGTAACGAAAGCGCGACATTCACGCCTTTAGCTTTTTTCACTAGTAATGTCTAGTTGCCTATGTGTTCTTCCAAGGCTATGTTCTACATCCAACTAAACATTCGCATTTATCTTATATCTAAAACTCTCGTGTCACAATTTTCGTTCCCATACTCCTCCGAAACGGCTTGACCGATTCTCATGAAATTTTGTGAGCATATTGACTAGCTCTGAGAATCGGACAACATCTATTTTATAATCCCGCGCAGACGGAGTCGCGGGCGACAGCTAGTAATATTAGTAAGATTATGAGACATTTAGCATCGTACCTTGTATCTGTATCCCGCACCAGACACCAAGACCGTGATACTGATTAGCTGCCGCTTTATCATCGTACTTCTTCCGTGCATAATATGCTTTTCTACTAAGATCCTCCTGTATATATATATATTTTTTTTTAGTAGTAACGTTATATGGTAACTCGCTGTATTGTTAGTACCAAATTGAAGGCACTTTGAGGTCAAATTTAACAAAATTGAATCTATTAAATTATCAAACTTTCGTGGACATTATAATAAACAGATATAAAGACGGCGAAACAATCACGTATATTCCGCCGCCGCCGCGGGTCCGCCACCGGATGAATAAACGTGAGTGTTTAGCCGTCTTTATATCTGTTTAAAATTCAATCCCTTACTGTAAGTTTTCACAAACATAATCGCAGCATTTAGACATCATTGTTTTATAACTAGCGGTCGCCCGCGACTTCGTCTATGCGGGATAAAAAAATATATACTAATATTAGACGAGCAGTTTAAGTTGTTATCAAGAACAAACCGCGGACTCACAGACCGACAAGAATTTTAATGTTTGTTTTTTTTTAAATAAGTTAAGCAAATAGATGTATGTTCTCTACACATATAATTTTCTTTTTGATATTACATACAGACATTCCAATTTTATTAATTGTATATAGATAAAACATAATTTTCTATCTCTGCTTTTTAATCAGTGGAAACTCATCTTTAGATCCTCACCTCAACTGTCTTAGGCAGCACATATAGTTCTGTATCCACTTCCTTTGGCGTCTGCACCAGGGGACAAGCTTCTAGTAGCTTCTCCAACGGCAACCTTGGTTGGTCTTCCACCTCCTCCTGCAGCCTGCTGTACGGCACCAGGAAGCCCCAGCCCTCGCCCTGGATGTGGTGCAAGGGGTAACCTTCCCATGTTAAACGAAGCAATTTCGGTGTTATCTAGAAAGAGAAGGTAGTTTAAAAAAAATACGAAAAAGTATTGAAACTAGATGGCGTTGTACTTAATTTAAAAAATATATGAAAAATAGCTTAATTTTCTATTATAATTACCTGCATACTAGTTGTTATGCTATTAGCACCAGGTATCCAGTCTGGATCTTTGCCTGGTTTAGTACACAATTTTCTATACCAAGCAGGATAACCGGCTAAATACGGTCTTTTTACTGGCAACATTTTCCCCATATCATAGAGATATGAAAACTTTTTAGTTAAATCCTCCATTTTTATTGTAACTGGCTGATTTGAATTACATTTTTTATGTTCTATTGTTTTTAAATAATCATCACAGAGTATATCAACTTTAGACATATCATATTTAATATTTATCCATTCATCGTCTATATTAGTTATTTTAATATTATTAAAATTATCTAATGTTTCTTTTTCTTCTGGAACATTCTTTACTATATTCGGTTCTTGTATATATTTCTTTTTAGTTGTTTGTTTTTTTAATTTCATATTCTGTGTCGACCAATCCTGATCCCACATCCAGAGATCTTTCTTGTATTCATCGTTGATCATCATTTTACAAGCTTCATCGGCTTTTAATGATAATAGTTGACGCGATTCGAGTTTTAAATCTTCAAACATTGTATCCGATGAGTCTATGTATTGCTGCCAATTTGAATTTACTGGGAGATATGCTGTACCTATATTACAAATGTATAAGAATTTTTTTTTTATTTTTTTATATCACAAGGTGGCAAACGAGCGAGCGGCCATCTGAAATCACTGAAATAGCGAAGTGACCGTTGCCCATAGACATACGCAATTGCATATGCGTTGTCTACCTTTAATCGACGGAGGAGAGGATGCACAGAAAGAAAATATTTTCTCTTTCCATGCATCCTCTCATCCGGAAAGTCCACTTCCACTTCCCAACCCTTCACAAGAAAAAGGATGGGAAGGGAAAGAGGACTAAATTAGGCCTCCGGGACGCACACTCATCAGATGAAACGCGGAATAGCTTCCACTTGACGCCTGCCTTCTGTGTGGTCGTGGTATTTCACCGGACGAGCCGGGACAATTCGTGCGAAGATGTTAAAGCGGGCTCTACCACTGTTAAACTACTCTCTCTACACTACTATTCTACCAATTATAAATTAACTTACAATATTAATTTTATATTATATCACACTAATATAAGATCTTCACTCAACATCTTAAGTAGCTCTCGCTAAACAATTGGATTAAGGGCACGATGCCAAAGGTAATTTGGAAACCGATCAAGGCAAATTGATCCAGTTCTTTTGAGAAATAGCATATCTATAATCTTTGCAATCGATCATTACATAATCGTTTGCCCCCTTCTGTTATAAAAAAAAATTACCGGCTCTTCATCTGCGTGAAATAAAAAAAAACCTGTGCCTGTGAAATTCCAGACTATCTACCTGTCTTTAAAATGTAACAAACATCCATCCATCCATCGACCATACAAACTTTCGCATTTATGATATTACAGCTTTTGTCGGCAACTTCATCTGCGCTGGATTAAAAAAATTAAGTAGCCTATGTGTTCTTCTGGAAGAGTGGTCTACATCTTTGTCAAATTTCATCAAAATCCATGCAGCCGTGCTGGAGATTTCCAACAAACATCCATCCATCCATGCATTCGCATTTATTGTTTAAACTCACCTAATTCCAGCATACCAGCCAATGTAACTGGATGTGGAAATCTTTCTAGAAACATCGGCAGTAACTTGTTGAGTACATTATGTGTTGCGATGACGTCACGCGCACAATAATCCATCAGAGTCTGGAAGTTCTCATGAACGTCCTCCATTGTACCATCGACAAATATATCTCTGGTTTCTTTGTCTACTGGTTTGCCACAATATAAATTATGCACCTGTAATTTTTTTTTATTTTTATGACACGAAATAAAATATCAAAAAAATGCCATTGCCATCTTTTAGATTGTCTTTTGTATCGTTGAATACTTTAGTAAAGTTTTAGAATAGTCATCCTAAAAAGAAATGAGTCGCAGCAACAATTTTAATCTAATTAAGAGCAAACATTTTTTTATTTTTAAACTCAATACATGGAGCTAATCGATATTAAAAAACTTATTAATAAAAACAAAATGTTATTTACCTCTGTCAAACTGTTTAGCGAACTTATATCTATCCAGGTATCATCTGATGGGTCGGGTTCTTTGTTCTTAGCTTTGAGCACTGCTCTCTGGTAGCTTGTCACACCACTGACACACGTGTGCATCGACATTGTGTCCATAAAACGTACACCTAGGAACATAATAAGCAGTCGTTTCATCATCAGATCACTATACGTCCCCACGGACTAGCTTGGAGCCTACCCTAAGTTAGGAACTAGGCCATAGTCAATCACCCTAACCTAGTGCGGGTGGAATTCCTGCCCAGATATGTGCAGGTGATTCGTGATGCACACGATATTTTCCTCACCGTAGGAACGTGGGATAAATGTAAAACATATTGGTACATGGCAGGATTTGAACCCAGGACGCTCTCTCTGAGCCACCGACGCTCTTTACCAGATTGCTTGTTTACTAGCGCAGAATTAAAAAAAGGAGCCTATAATATTCCCACACACATCTACAATTGTGGATGTCTATGGGCAGCAGTCGCTTCACCGTTTGGCTGCTGGCTCATTTGCCACCTTATAATATAAAAAAACCAAACAATTATCTGATACAATTTGCGGGCTTATCATAGATTTTGTATTTCTTTGAATATGTAGTAATCTTACTAACATTATAAATGCGAATGTTTAGATGGATGGATGTTTGTTACAAGGTGCATAGATTTAGTTTAAATTTGGAATAGATGTAGAACAATTTAGAAAAGCACACTGGCTACTTATAAAGTTTTTTTTTAATCTCGTGCAAACAACATCTACTCACCCGTTCTTTCAAGCCAATATTGTTCTTTGACTTTAGCTCTATCATATGACACATTATGACCAACTACAATTCTCGCTTTATTTAGATTATTTACATTTAACTCTAATTCATCAGTCTCCAATGGTATTAAGTCTTCGTAGTTCACATTATCAAAATATTCTTGAGGATCCCCATTTGCGACACGTGTACTAACCCATCCATACCTAGAAATATAAAAAGTTTTCAAAATCATTACTAGTTGTTAGTAAAAAAATAAATAAGGCCAACAGACAGTCACTCAACTGGATAAATACTATTTACTATCTAATTTCTTACTAATATTATAAATGCTAAAGTTTAGATGGATGGATATTTCTTAGAATGTATCTCCAGAATGGCTGCATTTATCTTGATGACGCACTGATGTAGAACATAGTCTGGAAGAAGTCAGACTACTTACTAAGTTATAACATAATATAGAAGAGAGATATATCCGGACCGTGTGAAATGTGGGTCCATGTTCTCTATCTAGCGTGAGTGTTATGTTATAGTTATCATTAAGAAAAACAGAGGCAATAACATTTATTACCCCAAGTATTATGACAGTTCAAGTTCATGTTTAGCAATAATAATTTTTATTTGAGAATTTTACCATGCCTCTGATGATACAGCACATGCCAAAGTAGGTCTTTTTCCTGCCGACATGAGGACCTCCACATCAAATATCAGAGCATCGTCAGGTGGATATGGTACTGGCTCAGGAGGATCAGTGGTTGAATATTTACACCAACCTTTTGTTCTTGACCATTTCTGAAAATTTAAATTTATGAACTTTAATTTTGTTATACACATAATAAGTGCATCCATACATATTCATAAAATCGGAATGTCATCATCATCATCATCAGCTCACTATCTGTCCCCACCCAGGGGCTCAGAGCCTACCCTAAGTTAAGGGTGATTAGGCCATAGTCAACCATGCTGGCCAAGTGCGGGTTGGTTGATTGCACACATATCTTTGAATGTGTATATGTAATATTGAAAAAATGTAACATTTTGTACATAGGTGTGTTTCCATTCCAATAAAAACCAAAATTTTAACATTTTCGTTTGTCTGTCTGTCTATTAGCAGCAGCTTTTTTAGGTCATCTCAGGAACAGCTTGACCTATTATCACAGATCTGACAGAATGACAGCTAATGCTCAATAATGACAAATTTAAAATAAAAAAAAAAACAAAAGCATAGATTACAGAGAGAGAGAGAGAGAGAGAAATATTATTAAATTTTGTTCACAACCATATTTGATATATATAGATGCAGTAACTTTACTTACTATTACTTAGCTACTATTGTAAGCTTTATTTTACCTTTGGTAATGGAGGCAGTTTAGATATTGCTAATTTATTTAACAATGTTCTATATGGAGCACATAGTCTTTCGCCAATATTATAGAAATGCTCCTCAATATCATTCCCTTCTAGTTTAGGCAATTTTAATTCTACATCTGGTATGCTACTGTAATCTTTATAGTTTATTCCATGTTTTAACAAATCCTCTTGGCACCTGAAAAATGTAGATATTTAGGGTAATTTTTTTTAATGCTTTAGGAACTTACCTAAAAGAGTAATTAAAATATTAAGTAATTTCCTAGTTGTACAAAAATTTTAATCAAAGTTAAAGAGCATATAAAGAAAATGACACAAATATTTTTATTCAAGAACATAGGACTACTAAAGTTTATTACCTTTGAATTATATTTGGATCTACAGCTTTAGAGGTTTTTTTAAATAACTGTTCATATATATTCTTAGAAACCATTTGTATGTTAACTTCATTAACTCTAAATTCCTTGGAAATATTCTTGATTTTATTTTGAACAGTATCATCCTTTTTGAGGTTAACTTTGCTTGTTTTGTTTTTACTTTTTATTACTATTGCTTCACTTGCAGGTAGAAAATCACAGTATTGTCTTAAATAAAATTTACGTCTTCTTTTCATACTTCTTACTAGTTTATTTGCGATATCCATAATAATTAATTATAGTAAGCAAACAATAACAAACCAAACTGTTACTGTCAAGCTGTCAAAGTCAAACCTTTTTTTAATTTCATGACTTGGTAACATAGACCTTTAGGTCATGAGTCAAACCCCCAAATGACAACAAACCAAACAGTAAATAAAACAATTTCATCCCCTGATCACACCAAACTTTTGCTTCCTGAAAACATATGGGCATATGACATTTGACCTTGTATTTAAAACTTCTCTTATTATTTCTTACTTAAACATATTTAATTTAAGGACACACACATAGAAAATAATTTTATCTATGTGTATCTGTAAAAGTATCCGTTTTCCACAATTTTAAAACATTTTTTACAGGTATACAGAGATACCTGATCAGCGCAACATATTCCTTAACCCTTCCTGATATTTGTTTTTTGTGATATTACATTTAGTAGTAAAGGAAATACAAATATCGTGAAAAATATTTATTAAAGGGAATAAACACAACTAGTTAATTATAACATGGTCAATTAATTATAAGGCTAATACTTTCAAATAATAAAAACAATTAAAAATGCTGATCTGCAATTCACTACAGTGGTACTTAAATATAGATAAGATATAAATAGAAGGAATGTAATGTTGGTTAATTAATTATTTTAATTGGTTCGCAATTGATAGTCACCATTTTGTGTGATATATCTGACCCAAGGCAATGCCTGGTAGCCACTCTTCTCAATAATCTTCAGATATCTAACTTGTATTCCTGATGTAGTGAAATATGGAATTTCAAATTTCACTTGTATTGGTGGCTTTCCATCAACTTCCTCACATTCCACAGATGGCAAACCAAAGTGAGCACGCATCAAATACTCTTTCCCTCCAGGGAATGACTTAATTGACCATGTTATAGCATTTTGTTCCGGTGTGTATTTTACACTGCCAATAGTTGTCTTGAATTTAGGTGAATCAGCATCAGCGGGGACGGGAATAATTATTTCAACATTATTTGCAGTTGAACGTCTTTTGAATTGAGATTTAGCTTTGATCATATACTCAACTCTTGAATGCGCATGACGTTCGATTACAGATTCTATCCAAATCAATGGTTTCACATGAGTGTTCAATCTATATGACATCAGCTCAAACTCACCATCAGGTGGAATAAAAGAAATGGTTCTATCATTTTCAAATCTAGACAATCTCACGCACTGATGGAACTTTACGTCTTCCAACTCTACGGACTTGGACTTTCCTCTACCAGTGCTTTCAAATAGAACCTTATCATTTAATCCGAGACGCAATTCTGGCATACCAGATAAATATACTCGCATTTTAATAGCTCCAACTATTTCACTACGTAAAACATTGCCATTCGAGTTTGCTAATAAGTTAACAGATTCAATAACATCTAAAAAGACTTCATTTTTCCGATACTTGATGCCTTCAGATCTCCATGAGACTGCATTTGTCACTGCCATTGGAATTCTTGGTTGCATTTCCAATTTATGGCCTTCCTGTGTAATGTATTCTTGCAAGATTTTGCTGTCAGTTGTCTGAGGATATCCGAAATCTATAAGTTCATCTAGCAATTCATAAATTACAACAAAGTTATCACGAATACTCTCTTCTTCAAGTTCTTTGAAATACTCTGTCATGACTTCCACAATTTTATACAGAAAAACAAACACTAGAGCAATATTAGCATTTTTTCTTGTAGTTGATACAATATAGAGGTTGTTTGTTTTAATATAAGCGAAGGTGCACTCGCTAGTCTGTAACAACGGGCTCAGCATTCCTTCTTCTTCTTTCTCCATCAATAAGGGCATAAATTTGTCTATGACACCCATGTCTACATCGCCACGATAATTGCGTGATATAAGGACTTTGCCTTTCACGTCCAATATGTATATTGCTGACGACGACATTTTCAAGCTGAAAAACAATGATTTACAGTACAGATACGGTTATATGTAAAAAAGTAAGAATTGAAAACCTGTTTTGCAATCGACTATCCTGGTAAGAGAGATTTTCATGTCATTGTGGATGAAGCAAGAAATGTTGTAAAATTAATAAAACGTATACCCGAGTGGCTGAAGTTGTTGAAAATTAACAATTTGTTGCTTAATTTAATAAAACTTCATCGCGTCTATTGATAACCGTGATGACGCAATGAGACGTATTTCCATTGAATGACAAGTGACATTTCATTGACAATAGTAAAAGTAGATTCGTTTTTACAGAATTTATCAATGACGTCAGTTTTTGCTATATAGTAAATCTACCATACTCTTTTAATTAACCTTGAATTCATTTAATATTCCCATTGTATGTCTATAAGTACATAGTAGCTAAAATTTAGCTTCTAAAATTGTGTTTTCTTCATTGAAAAAGCGAATGAAGTCTCAGAGTATATTAATCAAATGTCACACGTCTTGTTCCTGTGTCTTCTTAAAAAAATAAAACAGTCTATGATTGGGGTAGGTCGAGGAATTTGGATCCCGTCCTTGCCTCTTCGTGTTTATTTTATTTTTCTTAGTGTTTTTCTACATTTTCTTTCTCAAATAATGATATCATCTATTCAAATCACGTATTTATTGTTTCTTTGTTGGTTTTTATAAGTTAACAGGAGTTATAGCTATAAATGTATTTCATGATTTGCCAAAAAAATGATATCGGGGTCTCAGCGGAAAAGGCAACAAAGAAATCCTTTAGTGTTCTTAGATATAGTGACTGATGGCGAGCCAGGTTTGTGTAGTTTTTAAGAGATTCAGTAACAAAACAACTAAAACTGTTTCTTAATCTAATATGTATCTACGCGATATGCACTTTATAACTGCATCTGCATTGCTATGATTTATTTATGATTATTCCGAGTGACTGACTTCAAATTCAGTTCAGTGGGCCGAGGTCATTTAACATTGTGCAGATGAATTATTCATTATATGTTAGTTTATGGTATATGTGCATATAACAAAAGTTATCTGGACATTTTATTCAAAACATCAGAGTGGTATACCCAATATTTATACACATGTTTGTATTTGCATTTAACTAATCTACAAGACTCTTGTTCATGAGCCAAGAACATTGTTTTATACTTAATAGTATCAAAAACAAAACTACATTTTTGTTATCTACATCATAGATGTTTTCAGACGAATAATTAATCTCTGTTTTCAGCTGGACGAATAGTAATAGAGCTAAGAGCTGATATAGTGCCTAGAACAGCTGAGAACTTTAGAGCATTATGTACCGGAGAGAAAGGAATAGGTACCAATGGAAAGCCATTGCATTACAAAGGAGTTCGCTTCCATAAAGGTATCTAATAAGATTCTTATCAGATTTTCTTGATAAAGAAGAGAGACATTTGCTAAATATTAAGTGTGCTAAATATTAAGATACAGCAACAATATAAAGATTAAATTAATAATACTAATAAAAATATTGTTTGTATTTGAAGAATATGAAAAGTACCTTTAAAAGTCACATCTTATTTTCAGTTTAAATGTAATAGTTACAATTGATAAGTAAAGTATAATGCCCAGTTTGCATTATTCCAGTCCAGTGATCATATCTAGCATTGGGTTCATACTGGATATATTTACTGTTAACACTGGAATTCTCTGTGTAAATTTGAATGCTAGACTTAAATCATGTAAACTGGGCATAAGTGGAAAAGTTGATTAAAATCAAAGAGTTATAATGTTAAGAATTAATTATGAGGTTTAACTTAAAGTTAAAATCTTATATTTGTATTTTCAGCGGTGTCTCAGTTCATGGTGCAAGGCGGAGATATTATCAATGGAGATGGTACAGGAGGGGAGAGTATATATGGACCAACATTTGAAGATGAAAATTTTAATCTCAGGGTTCGTATTTCTTTTATATTTAAACAATTTTAATTCCTAAAATAAAACTTTATAGTAGTACAGTCATGTCACTTTGTTGTGTTCAACATAGACATTTTCTTGTACCATGCAATGAGACAAACTCTGCCCCTTACAAAATAAACAATAAGGTTGAGTTATTCAAATGATACATTATAGGAAAAAGCAATTGCATAGTTTACCACTGACCGACTCATTCATAAACATTTAAAAGCTGTATCTTATTAGTTATTGTTTCCGAGTCTCAATGCTTACGAAACGTTTAAACCAATGTCGCTTTTTAGGTGTAATACCGCCAACTTCCCCGATAGTACATATAAATGTTATATATTTTTGCACTAAATACATATTTAACAGATATAAAATATGCAATAGCGACGTTAGAGTTGTCGAGATAGGTCTGCCCAGGGCACCGGGCATAAGAAACACCGCAGGCGCCAGAGATTAAAGGACCGCCTGCGTTGCTCCCTAAGATACCCTATTTTTGTAAGATTTCCCCTAACAATAAAAAGTATCTTCGTAAAAATCTCGCCCAGGGCGCCAGAAATGCTAAAACTGGCCTTGAACTGACGAGAATGGTTTGTTTTTAACTTTGTTTCAAAGTTAGCAAGTCACATTGTAAAGAACTGCTGCGTGAGGGCGCTTTCTATCAAGGTCATTGAGGATTTTGCCTTCGTCGTAATAAGTCTCGTGTTACTGAATTTTTTATTGATGAAGTTTTATAAATACGCGTTAAAAATAAACCATTTCTTAACTTTTTTAAGTCTGGTTATACTTTAAAGTACTTATTGAGTTTTTAATTCTTTCAATATTTGTAAGAAGTGAGTAAATCGGATTAATATTATAAATGCGAATGTTTAGATGGATGGATGGATGTTAGTTTGAAGGTATCTCCGGAACGGCTCAACGGATTTTGATGAAATTTGGCACACCTGTAGAACATAGTCTGGAAGAACACATAGGCTACTGATTAAGTTTTTTTTAATTCCGCGCGGACGGAGTCGCGGGCTACAGCTAGTTCTGATATAGAGGCTGATTGAGATGTATGGATGACTGATGATGTTCAAGAATATACTTTAAAGTTTATATGGTAATACTATGACATCGCATTAGTAATCGATACAGTTATATTTTAATACTGTAAGGCTTTTCGTACACAAGGGAACTAAGTACTCGCGTCGCGAATATCTCGTAGCGCGCGTTCCATACAACGTTGAGTCGTCGATATGAGTCGTCTATTCAGTACAGGCATACCAACTACACGTCTAATACTAATTTAAAAATGTCTACCGAATTTGCTCCGCTATCTTGAAATTATAGCCACTTCAACGGTTTTGACAAACATGTAGCCAGACTGGCGTTGACGATAAAAGAACGCGTGCCTTTAAATGAAACTATATGATTTTGAAACTATATGATTAGAGATTGGAATAGTGATTCACATTATATATATAATGTGAATCACTATTCCAATCTCTAATATTAATTATATACGAATCAGGACGTAAACATGTTAATAAATATTAAATATGTAATTCACAAGGTAAACATTATGCGTTTGTTTAATTATTTAATTATTGTTTATATAAACATATATACTAAGAGTAATAGTTTACTGTTAGTTTACATCAAAGTTACATTGTAACGTTCAATGGAAGAAAACATTTGCTAAAATAATTTTATTTCAAGGTCTGCTTACCTTGAACACCAATAGTATTGGAAATGCATGTCATGATGACTTTACATTCACATTTTGATAGCCAAATGATGAGACAAAGAAAAAAATAAAAAAACAGAGTATGTAATTACGAAATTATTTATTTACATTGAGTAGGATGTATAGGAAAGGGGTAATCTGGGCATCCTCTATATTGTTTTTGCATGGTAGGTAAAATATGCAACCTTCTAAGTTGTCTATGGTAGACCACTGGTTGGAACCAGTCTATGGCCAGTTATCACTTCTTTATTATAGCGGGATTTGATAGCCTTTTGCTCTCTACTTTGAAGAAAAAAAAACTATAATTAAACGTACTAGATCTTAGTTCATCACAATTCTATTTCAGCACGATCCTGGTGTGGTGAGTATGGCCAACAAAAATCGACCACATACAAATGGTTCCCAGTTCTGTCTCACGAATGTGCCGTGTCCTCAACTCGATGGCAGAAATGTGGCTTTCGGACATATACACTCCGGTCTGGGGATATTGGCTGATATACAGTCGTATGCTGATGATGATGGACGTCTTAGTATTGTGAGTTATTTCCTATATTTAGTCTTTTCGTTCACAGTGATTGGAAAATATGTGTCTGTTTGTTTGTAATTTTGTGTGATTTAATCGCAAAAATGGCTAATTGATTTGGATGAGGTTATCACTAATTTGTTAGTTTCACTTAACTTATAGTTTTTGTTTCATAATGATCAGTGTCGGTGGCTCAGGGGTTAAAGCACTTGACTTGTAATCTGCAGGTCCTGGGTTCGTATCCCGCCATATACCAATGTTATTAATATTAACATATGTACATTTATCCGACGTTCTTATGGTGAAGGAAAACATCGTGACGCTGCACATATCTGAGAAAAATTTCAAAGATATGTGTGATGAAGTCAACCCAAACTAGGCTGTCAACCGACTATGGCCTAGTCACTAACTTAGGGCAGGCTACGAGCCCCTCAGCGAAGATGTATAGAGCTGACAATAATGAATGATCAGTGCCTAAATAAAAAAAGTTATGTCCTTTGAAATTCGGTTTATTATCAAATTTAAGTTGACCTCAGATGTCTGTGATTAACCTTATAACATAGGGTTCAGGTTAGATTGGATAATGAGAAAGTTTCAGGAGATTTTTCTAATTGTACTAGGAGTGCATAATAGCGGACTGCGGTGAGATATTGAATACACTGGATTGGGGCGTGTGTTGCAATGACGGCACAAGTGACAGACTACCAGAGTACCCGGAGGACTCCGCATGGAACACGCTGCCTGTAAGTATTCATGTACCAGGAGTTCATAATAGCCGAGTATTACAAAACAGATTTTCTTTAACTAAAATACCCTCTCAGATTTTTATCTCCTAGTAGTCGAAGTTAGATCATAACTTAATTTCTAATTTTTTTTTTATAAGAAATATATAAATTTTTGAGCGGTCAAAAGAATCATCATAATTATCCTATCTTACTTCTTAATGTAATTTATGGATGTTTGTTTCTCCGCAACCGCTCAACGGATAAAATTTGGCATAGACGTAAAACATACTTTGGAAGAACACATAGACTAGTAAGTTTTTTAAATTCCTTGCCAGTAGAGTCGCGGGCAACAGCTAGTTACATCATAAGACTAAATTAGCATTAACAGTGGTAGAGCCCGCTTTAACATGTTCGCACGAATTGGTCCGGTGAAATACCACGACCACACAGAAGACAGGCGTCAAGTGGAAGCAATTCCGCGTGCAGTCTGATGAGTGTGCGTCCCGGAGGCCTAATTTAGTCCTCTTTCCCTTCCCATCCTTTTCTTTATAAGGAAAGGATGGGAAGTGGAAGTGGACTTTACGGATGAGAGGATGCATGGAAAGGGAAGATATTTTCTTTCTGTGCATCCTCTCCACCGTCGATTAAAGGTAGGCAACGCATATGCAATTGCGTATGTCTATGGACAGCAGTCACTTCACTATTTCCGCTATTTCAGGTGGCCGCTCGCTCGTTTGCCGCCTTTTGGTATAAAAAAAGACCAATCTCTGTTTAAAATATTTTATTTTCTTTATAAATAAAAAAAAGTTCCGATTTAGTATTTGCGTATATTTTATCTGTATTTGTTTGAAATTAGCAATCAAAGCGGTGTAAACAATGTAGGAAATATGTTTACTATATATGTACGCGACATGTGCCCAGCTTGATCTGTAATTCTATTGTCTATTATGCTAATTATTAATTAATATACCAAGGTTGTTTATGGTTAACTAGCTGACGCCCACGATTCTATTCGCGCGAAATTAACAAAAAAAAAAACTTTATTAGTATATGTGTTCTTCCGGACTATGTTCTATATCTATGCCACTGAGAGACAAAGATCACGTTTACAAACATCCATCTATACATACAAACATTCGCATTTATAATATTAGTAAGATTATTGTTAATAATAACATTAAACGCTAAACTAGAGAGGTTAGGTATTTACAATTTTACTTATAAGGAATATGTCCATTTTTTATTTTTATACGCTTTTATCCTGGTATAGATTTCTAATATAAAATTTAAGATTCGAGGAAGTTATGTGTGATATTTTATTAGACTCCATTTTGTCTAAGAAATTATTTTAATGACATTTCATCTTGGAATATAGATAATAAAATTATAACGTCTATATGTCAAAAATAAAATATGTCGTGTACATAATGTATTTTCTTTAATTAAAACGAAAACAAGTTTTCTATGTCCGCGATCCCCGTGTGTTCCGGACGAGTGAGGTGTCATTCGATTTAACTTCTTCAACACTGTCATAGGAGGATTGAGATTAAAATTATATAAAAACGGCTAAAACACTCGCGTATGTTCGTCCGGTGTGTGAGGTGCCGCGTCCGCGAAATATTACCAGTTCCACTCACCCTGATGAAGTGCCCCCGATGGGCTCGAAACTAGACGGGTGCCGACACCGGATGAAAATACGTCAGTGTTTTAGCCATTTTTATATAAGTTCACTGTAATGTTTCAGGAAGTTTGATTATGATTAAGATTTAAATAGATATAAATATAAAAATGTTTTATTTATTATAATACTATTGCGTCTATGACAGATTTCGAAAAAGAAAGTGTGATTAGATTCCTATCTTCAATTGTTTCTTTTTTTTTCTTAAATAAAATACAGCTTTAAGTATAAATATATTAGGTAGAAGAGTTACTGTCATGTATAAGTGATGTGAAGCAGAGCGGCAACGCGTACTTCGGTCGCGGACGACACAAGGCTGCGGCGAGGAAGTACACAAAATGTCTGCGATATTTGTCTCATGCCGCGGAAATGTTGCAATCAGACCGCCTTCCTAACCCAGAACAAGGTCAGAATTGTGGTAACCAGTATAAAAACTTGTCAGGCCTTTAGCGTAACTGTAGTATGAGGCCGGCAACGGATCTGCGTTTTCTCTTGTATTGCTGATGTCCATGGGCGTTGTTGAACACCTTGGTGTTCCCGCTGCTTGATTGCCCCCTTCTCTTATAACAAAAAACTGTTTAAGCACTCGTTTCGATTATCATCTGTCCGGTGATTTCACCTATTTGTTTTCAACAGTGTTCTATATGTATGCCATATTTCATCGAGATCCATGCAGCCGTTATGGAGCCTTGTGAACATCCATCCATCCATCCAAACAATCGCATTTATAATATTATAGTAAGATATATAGGAATACTGTGAAATATAGAAATCAAGCATGAAGTGGAAGTATTTTTTAGAAGACCTTATTCTAATTATCTTGATTTTTCCACGGGATGCATAGGATAGGGAAGTTTTCGTTTTTTTTATTATTGAAACAATTTTTTAACATTTTCAGTGTTTGGCGTGATGGCGATGTTCTCATTGCAATGTAACTTGAACTTAGCCGCGTGCCACATCAAGTTGGCCGACTACAGCGCCTGCGTCAAATGCACCACTGAGGTAAGTGTAACTGACATTATGCTATTTTATATCCGAGTGAATCTCTGAACGGTCACTTCGCTATTACAACGATTTAAGGTGGCCGCTCGTTTGCCACTTTTTTTATATAAAAAAAAGATATTCTACAATTAAAACCTTAATCAAATGTAAGAAGGAAGTCCCGTCATCTCGAATGCATGGACTCATTTCTACGTGACTAACTTCCCCGCAACTTAGTCCGTGCGGAATTTAAAAAAAACTGGTTAAGTAGCTTATGTGTTCTCCCAGATTGTGTTTTACATGAATGTCAAATCTCATCGAAATCTATGCAACTGTTTTGGAGATACCTCCTAACCAACATCCATCCATCCATATAAACACGAGTTAGTTTACTGAAATAGTATAAATAGACCTCTCTAGGTATTTAAAATACTATTTATATGTTTTTTTCATACATAATAAAAATATATTTAGGTACTTAACGTTGAACCAAACAACGAGAAAGCGTTATACCGTCGAGCGCAAGCTAACTTCGCTCTAAGTAACTACGAAGCGGCCATAGCTGACCTGAAACACGCGAGCAATAGTTCACCAAATAATAAAGCTGTAAAAAAATTACTAGACGAAGTCAGGTCAAGTAACAATAGCTACAATGAAATACAAAAACAGAGGCTGTCAAAATTTTTTCGTGACCAAAAAGAGGGAAACGTCACGATCGAACATAACTGAATTGAAATTGCACGTCGTGATATACAAATTGTGATTAAGAATATAATTGAATTTCGGAATATTCCATTTAAATGTTAACGCGGAATATTAGATGTTAATGTGGAATAATTTAATTCCTATGAATTTTTGAGACTAGAATATAAGTTTAAAACATATTTTTATTTCTATTTTGGATGACGATATGTTTTATATAGAGATTTTGGCCTCAGAAATCTACTGTTAAGCGGCATATTAAAATATGTATAAAGACATGTTACGTTTACTAAATAAACGCATTGATGTTCATTTATATGTTAACTTGGAATATTCCCACTGATATTCCAATTTACAATTGGAATAAATGATATTCCAATTTACAATTGGAATAACTGATATTCCAATTTACAATTGGAATAACTGATATTCCAATTTACAATTGGAATATAAATATTGTTTTATACGTAGATATAAATAAGTTAATTTAAGTGACAATAGAATTCAGTAATATTTGGATATATTATCCGGACGGTTTATTATCCGGACGTACAACTAAATGGTTACATTTTTAGTACAACATAAATTATAGTATGACAAAAAATATTCCGCTATTATCCAAGCTTCTTTTAAGTTCAAATTATTGTATTTTGGCTTTTAATATTCGAATTAAAAACACACTAACTTTTTTGGTTGGTGGTAATGTTTTATTTTTGTTTGATTTTAGTGAATTGAATAATACAAGGAATGTACTGAGAAAATAACGTAATGTCAATTTTCTTGTTTGAACGCTAATGTGTAAGAATTGTTCAAAATCATGATGGTGCTCTTATAGCTAGGATATGAGGAAGGAAATTTTGACGTTAGAATTAAATTATTGACAATTTATGAAATTTTGTATTGGAAATTTTAATCTGAATTTAAAATATCGAAGCTCAAATTAAAAAGTAATTAGGCTTATATAAGCGGTAAATAAATTTACAATTTAAATTTTATTGAATTACATCACTGTCGCATCCTCAGTTAATACGAGTGAACGGCACAGCTTATATTGTGTGCTCTCTCGCACTTATAGGTCTTAAGGAAGGTCGTAGTGATGCGCTGTGCTGGTATCGATATATTAAAATCTTATTTTTACACAAATAAAAAGGTCAGTTTGGTTTTTGTCTAATGATCTCTTTTTTAATAATGCGTATTACGATAGTTTTTAAATCATGATTTTATTTCGTAATTTTTTTATGGTTTTTAGATTTGACCTATTTTTTTATACTATGCTGTTGCTATGAGTAGCTAAGTTGTTAATATTATTTTTAATTAGATTTACTAACGGCTAGTGATTACTAACATTTAGTTTTGTTTTTAATAAGGGTTTAAAAAGTCCTATTTGAATCTTATAATAAACTTATATATAGTACAGACCATTTTGACATTTATCGATGTTACAACGCACTTCACTAAAGAGAGCGGGACAGATATACACCAAGTCTAAAGTTAGACAGAGAAGTCTCTTACGTCAGTTGATTCAGTTTGCAGTATTAACTTTAGACAGTCAGAGAATTGTAAAATATCAAAGACAATAAACATAATAATTCCAAAGATTTAAATAATAATGAAGTGCAAATGACTAATTTACTTTTTTTTTCATAACCATTATTTCGACGAGTACTTTTAGTATAAGTGTGACATATCGCATGTAGGTAGATTATATATCTAATTAAATGTTAGGTTCTCTTTATCAACAAAACATATAAAAACTGGACAATTTTTTTTCTGACTTTTATTTTTTTTATTTTCGTCATACTACTAGTACTTGTACTAATTAAAAATGAAACGATGTAAATTGTTGTAATATTTTTGGCATGTTTTTATAATCTGGCAATATTTTTGACATTTTCATTTTTTTTTAAAATTATGTGACAGAAAATCTATACGTTGCTATTAAACGATACTGCCTTATGTGCCTTTATTTGTTTTAGAATGAAATTGCATTAAAATATTTTTAATTATTTCAAATTTTATAAACGAATTCAAAGTAAAAGTAAGAATCCATTCGGCAAAATGTTACTTATTTGCGATTTGTCAATTAAAATGTTGCCATTATACTTTTAATATTTCTCAGCTATATTGTTAAATGCAGTTTTTTTTATTGTACTATTTTTGTAAGTTGGCAATTCTAAGAAATATTCCATTATTACTAATTTTTATAACAATTAGATTTTTTTTTATGTTATGAAATAAAGTTCCATCATCAAAGTATGTCTCAACGTTTTAACTGTCGACATTTTTATGTATATAATTTTTTGTAACGTGTTTTGAAAATTTTATCTCAACTTGTCTCTCTGAATTAAAAATTGGTTTGAAACTAAAGATATTAGGAAGGATTTTTTTAAAATATTATACAAAAAGTTTTTAGCCACACGAAGTATGTTTTAAATATATTATTTGACAATGTGATTTTTTTATAATAGATAAATGATATTAAACATTTTTTTTAGAGATTTTTTTTGGTAAAAAAATACTTTTAAAAATAAAAAAAGGATTTTTATTCAATAACCTTAGTTTATTTCAGTTTATAATACGTTTGTGAAGTGTTCATCTTTGTCTGAGACGTGTTTTTGTATTTGTTTCGGCAGTGGAAACACATTAGTTGAATCGGTTTATACTGATTCCCGCGTTATATATAAAACGACAAGTTTATCTGAACCTATAGAGGGCGTTGCTATCTCGGTTACTTTTGTCTGAAAATATGTAAAATGTAAAAAATGAATTAATAGAAAACCATGAAAAGACAGTATCAGATCTATCGTTGGTTTTTGAGACCAAAATCTCTTCAAAAACATGTTATCCTTGTCTTTCATCTTTGACAAAAATGAGATAACAATACGGGTATTTTGGTCTCAGAAACTCACGACTAGTACATTTACCTCTATAAATAGACAGGCCGAACTGTAGAATTTTGTGCCTATTTGATTTCCGCCATTTTAACGCTGACTGTTGCGATTGGTAGTTTTAGTGAGAATTGGAAGTAATAATAGGAATTTTCTGGATATTCAAGGCACGTTTAAGTCGGAAAGAATCAAAAGCTATTCCAAGCAATGATCTATCCATTAGTAGATATCAGTTATCCTAGATCGTACATTTTTGTACGGACTGGAGGGCGCTAGTCAGCTGTTAAGTTTGACTTATGCCGGGTCAGTAAACTTTGTCGGTCTATACTATGAGTTTAATTCTATTCTTTGGTACACTAGTGTTAAGTGTAATATAGCTTTAATTAGTATTAAAGTACTGTACTGTTGTTCACAATCACGATATGAATTTTACCAATAACTAGGTTACTTTTGTACGGGAGTATACAATATGACATAATAAAATTCATTTTGCTGAAAATATTTCTGTTTTATTTATAAATACTAGCTGTCCAGACTCCATCCGCCCGGAATTAAAAAACATAATAGTATATGTGTTCTTTTAGAATATGTCCTATGTATGCCAAATTTCATAAAGATCCGTTCAGCCGTTCCGGAGACACCTTCGAACATCCATCCATCTAAACATTCACATTTATAATCATAATCAGCCTAAATTTATCCACTGCTGGACGTAGGCCTTCCCCATCGATTACCACAGTACCCGTTCCTGTGCCGCCCACATCCAGTGCATTCCCGCAACCTTGACCAGGTCAACGGTCCATCGAGCGTGCGGCCTACCTACGCTGCGTCAACCCGTCCGCGGCCGCCACTCTAGGACTTTTCGGCCCCATCGGCCGTCCGCTTATAATAGTAAGATTATATTATCTAACTTTCAAACAATGTGTTTTAAAACACATATGCTTGATTATTCACTGAAAAAAAAATGTTTTTGTGTTTCACTCACCTTAAAGGAAACTTAAAATATTGAATAAAACACATACATACTTTTAAAAGTAGTTTTATAAAACATAATAAATACAGGCTTTAACATAATGGACAACAAATAAGGTGGGTAGGCGACGTAATACGAATTCAGGACGGCAAGTATCTTTGTATCAGACGTTCACAACAATTCCACAAACAATTGCAGTCATATCGCCATCTCGCTCAATCACTTCAAAAAAAGCGAGACAACAATATGCTTCTAATAAACGCATGGAAACTAACGGTTACGTCATAATAATTAAAAAAAATGTCCCACAATTTATTATTTTATACTTTTGAAAGATAATTCGTATTGTTAATGTAATTTGAACACTTTTCCAATAACTTTAAGGTTCATTATCGCGGAATCGTCGCTTCAGTCTGCCTGGTTGAACACTTTAGTCAATATACAATACTTATAACATAATTTTATTTGTCAATTTTAAAACATTAAAAAAAACAATAGCTGTACAATTTTTAATCAAAAAGCAGCCAATTTAATAATTAAGCTAATTCCAAATCGTTTGCTGAAAATACAAAGCTTTGTGACAGATGTTGAAAACATTTTTTCAATATAACTGAGGATTTCCACTACCGAAAATGACAAGTAAAATATAGTATTGCCATCTCTCTCATTGAGTCTAAAAAGACAGAGATAGCAAACATTTTAGTACAGATATTTCGACTTATTCTCTTTTAATCGGTATTGAGTAAACACAAAACATTTTTTGTCTCATAATATTTTTCTTTTTGAATGTACATTTGCAAACATTTCTCGTAAAACTCAACTTCAGTAAAAACAAATAGAAAAAAATCTTTAATTCACCAAAAATATATGTATAAAA